TTTTGTCTGAAAGATTAGAAGTAAAAGACAATGAGTTGGATCTGTTGAAAAGGAAAAATGCTGATCTTGAGAATAATATTGCAACCATGGATCAGAGGAGAAAATCAGAGAAAAAGTTGCTTATTTTAGTTACTATGTTTTTGTTAGCCATGTGGTTCTTTGGTGTTTCTAATGAGAAGAAGTTAATGCTTATGTAGCTTTGAACAAGGATATTGTGTTTGTTGTTGGTTGTAGCTTTGAACAAGGATGTTGTGTTTGTTGTTGGTTGTAGCTTTGAACAAGAATATATTGTGTTTGTTTTCAATGTTCTAGTGATTATGGTAATCTTTAGCTAGATTTGTTGTTGTTTTTGTATGCTTAAATAGACAAAGCTGGTATTTTATCTTTGTTTGAACCAAGGAAAAAGCTGTATATGTTTCCAGGCAAGAACATGGTGTGGTTTTGTTTTCAATGAACATTAAAGCATACAAACATAAGAACATACAAACAAAATCAATATGAAGCTGCTATTATGTTGCAAAAGTTACCCAAAATACATACATGATGTCTTAAGATCCACAACAATACATATCTATGCCATTTTTGACAAAACAGATAGTCTTTGGCATCAATTTATTCACATCACATCCATGTCCACAAAAATAAAAACTAAAACAAACTGAATCCCCTGAAACAAACAAACCAAAAAAAAAACCCTATGTTCACAACCACATGTCCACAACAAACATATTTTGTCAGATCTTTGCAACACTTTCTTGAGTTCCAACAGCTTCCACAGATTCCTTGTTTTGAGATTGCTTTTGAACTCTATTTTGTCTAAGCACATGTCATTGACAATTTGAAATATATATATATATCAAAATATATCACAGACAATAGAAAAATAAAATTAAAGACAAATATTGAGAATGGTATGTATCAAAGTACCAATGCTTTCTTTTTTCTAGCTACAAGGGCATGGGAAGTTACTCCAGTTACTCCAGATTGCTCTGTTTCCTCTGTTGGTGTACCTCTAGATATCTGAAAATACAATATTATGTCAGAATTCCAAAAATTTTAAAACAAACAATGTAATGTCAAACATAAAAAACTGTGACCTTAGCAATAGGTTCACTTCCACCTGCCTTTGTGTTTTCTCTCATGATCCTTGGTCTACCTCTAGGTCTCTGACATTAACAAGTTTGTAAGATTCAAGGAATCTTAAAAAATATAATGTCAAACAAAAAAAAATGCCATGAGACTGATACCTTAGCAATAGGTTCACTTCCACCTGCCGGTCTGCTTTCTGTCATAAGCCTTGGTCTACCTCTAGGCCTCTGAAATTGACATGTTTGTTCAAAATTCAGAAACTATAAAAATATAAGTATATATTCCTAACAATTTTTACCTTACCAGGTTTTGGAGTTGGGTCATTGGTGCAAGTCTTCTTGTTGTGGCCAACTTGGAAACATCTTTGGCATGTCATTTGTAAGCCAAACCTCTTCAGCCTTGTGCTTGTCTTAGCCTCTTCTTCAGGTGCTTTTTTTCTACTGATCTTGGGCCTACCTGGCATTCTTCTGAATGGTGGGGGTTTGATAGGATACCCTGAAGCCTCTGGCCATATCCTCTTCCCATTAAGGGGCTCAATGGGGAATGAGTATGATGCAATGAGCCTTTCACAACTATATACAGGGGATACAAAATCTGTGGCATCTTTTTTCAACCAGTGAATAGCTGAGCATGCATGGATACAAGGTATGCCACTTATCTCCCATTGCCTACATGTACAACTCATATCTCCCAAATCAACAACAAATTGGTCTTCAAAAGAAGCGACCTTATATTTGTTTCCTAGAGCAGGTTTGGTGACACACAACCTACTTTTGTACTTAGTTTTCTCTAGTTTTTTCCTAATCCTAGGGCAAATTGAGTCAGTGAGACCACTTCCCATGTTCAGTTTTTCAACTTGTCTTTCCATCACATAGGTTCTTATCATTTCAAGCATTTCAACAATAGGCTTTTTTCTAGCCCTAACAATGGTGCTATTGAAGGTCTCACATACATTATTTAGCACCATGTCAGATTTAGGATGCACTTAAATTAAGGCCTTACAAAATCTGAAGTTGTCTTGCTCCATGAACTTGTTGTATGCCTCTGGACACTCAGCTTTCATCTCCTCCAGTGATTCCTTATAGGCTGCAATGTATGTGCAATGGACAGTCCTCCAGAACATGTTTTTCAGTGTTTGACCCTTGTGTTCTTTCTTCCAGTTCATATAAATGTGTCTTGCACAATTCCTATGCTCTGCCAATGGCCCCAAATCCTTTACTGCATTAATCAGTCCCTACAATCCATTTGAACAAGGTAAAAGTTAAAAGTTATATAACATAATCCACAAACTATTTAAGGAAGGGAAAATAAAATTAAAACATTATATTAAGTAGTTTAGTTACCTTTTGTTGGTCACTAATAAAGGTCCAACCCATTCCATCTCTGATGCCAAACTCTTCAAACAAAATATTCAAGAACCACTTCCAATTTGCCTCATTTTCAGAATCTACCACTGCCCATGCAATGGATAAATCTGGTTGTTTGCATCCTTCCCCACAGCAGTCAACAAACACCCTCCAATCACAGTCTTCAGGAAAGCTCCATCTAACCCAACTATTGGTCTGCACCCACTTAAAAATCCTTTTTTTAATGCACTAAATCCCACAAAAAATCCCTTGAACACAGTACCTTCATCAAGTAGAAATTCAAACCGACCCTCTCTGTCTACTCTGAGTAGCTCAGCAACATAACTCCTCAGACATGAGTAATGCTCCTCTTCTGTGCCTCTCAACATTTGTAGTGCTTTGTACTTGCCTCTGTAAAGCTTCCACTTAGATGGTTGCACAGCATACTTCTGAAGTATCATCTCTTCAAGGTCTCCAATTTTCATTTTTGGTTTTCTCCTGAATGTCTGAAGGTATTCCTTAGAAATCCATTTTGAAGATGCTTGTTTGGTTCTCATGTCCCTAGAGCACTTGTGATCTGAAATCAATGTTTTGATGGCTAATCTCCCTTCTGCCTTTACATTGCTAGCATACAACTTCTAAGGACATGATTCTATACACTTGGCCTCAATCTGACTATGGGTTTGTCTCCATATCTGAATATTGTGACCATTATATATGGAATACTCTTGAATAGCATTCCTAATTTGAGTGACTGACTCAAACCGCATACCAAGTTCAAACTTGAAGTGCTTATGGTCAACCTTGGCATCATACATTATCATTTTTTCTTGTTCTTCTTATGACTGACACCATCATCTCCACTAAACCCTCCTGAGCTTGAAGAATCAGAATAAACCTCTTCTTCTGAGTCTGCATAATCAGAATGATCTTCCCTCATAGACTGGAAGCCAGTTTCAGAACAGAATGCAAAGTTTTCAGTTTCTTTATCTGCAACTTTGGAGGCAGCTCTTCTTCTCCTTGGTTCAAAGTATTCTTCATCATCAGTTCCTAATTCATCTCCACTCAATCCATCTGATTCAGAACTTTCTTCTTCTGGAATATACTCCTCATTTATGCTTTCCTCATGAAAATTATCAATAAGTTGGTCCAAATCTTCTTCAGTAACAGTAACATCAGCTACTGTTGGTTGCACATCTGATTTGCCTTTTTGCTTATCGGCTTCTTGTTGCACAATTGATTTGCCTTTTTGCTTATCAGCTTCTTGTTGCACATCTGATTTGCCTTTTTGCTTATCAGCTACTTTTGGTTGCACAACTGCTTTGCCTTTTTGCTTATCAGCTACTTTTGGTTGCACAGCTGCTTTGCCTTTTTGCTTATCAACTACTTTTGGTTGCACAGCTGCTTTGCCTTTTTGCTTATCACCAGTTATACCTTCATTATCATAACACACCTCCTTTTCATTTGTGGAACCAGAATCAACATACACTTGAACAAAATGCTTGCCAGGTTGCATCTTAGAAAGCATTTCCATGACACCCTCATCATTGCGCATGTGAACAAACTGATATTATTTAATTATATTGATAATATTAAGAATAATGAAATTGAATTAAAAAATTTGAATTAAAAATGATATTTTTTTTTTTGTTTTATCAAATTCATAAATTAGTCAAAATACCCATAAGTCACAAATTTTGGAGAATAATTGTGTGTCACGTGGACGTGGTAGATAGGTTGGGATGGTGAGCAGCTATTGGTCAATATCATGCAATGTGTTCGGTAGGACCAGCAGTTCCCAATTTATTTTTTTGTGTTGAGCTTAAGTGACAATTTTGCACGCTTCGAAATTTTATTTGGCCAAAAAAATACTTCGTTTCACTTGGATAAAAAATAATGTTATTCTAAATCAATAATTTTAGGTTCCAACATTCCAAAAATATTAAAAAACTAACTTGGTAATACCATAATTAGTTTGACTAATATAAGCTTTAAGTTGTACGTGAACATTTGGTAATGACATTGATTGATTAATATAACTTTGATTTGTTTTGTAAGCTCTCGATCGGGTCATTAATTTCCATAAAAACTTCAAATCAGCCTAAATACATATATTTAATTTTAATGGTTGTTGTTACTATTATTTAATTCTGAAAATATTTATCTTAACAAGTACGCGTGTATTACACGTGTTTGTATTGCACTAGTAAATAAGATATAACTGAATTAATAAAATATAAATATAGTATGCCTAGTTTATCACTACAGTACATATATAGTGTTGGGAAATGCTACAGTCCCGTTACGGAACCATCTCGTCGGGGTTCGTAACCGTTAGATCAACTATCCCCGATGGTTACATGATAATTTAACGGTTACAAATCTCGACGGAATGAGTCCGTAACGAGACCGCAGTACTTCCCTACAGTGTCATGTAGCTAACTCCTAAGGATAAATATTTGCTATTGACTGAAAATTGCTGTCACAGGTCCAAGACATCCCCTGGCCTGTGATTCTATATATAGTCATTCTTTGTTCTTCCTTCTTCAAAGGGCAGTTTCAAGTATGGATAAGTACTGTAGGCAAAAGCACTGTAGAAATAGAAATCCTTCCATCTCTGAAGGTGGGAACATAAAGAAATCATTTTCTATTTAAATTTATTTTTTTTTTTCTTGTAAACTGTCTAATTCTCTAAGACAGTAGTTTTCCTCAAGTTATCTACAATTAAGCTACATAAGTATTATTTTTTCATGTTTGGTTTTACAGAGGTAAGCAGTATTGAATGGGAATCTATAGACATGAGTGAGGAAGAAGAAGACATCATTAACAGAATGCACAATCTTGTTGGAGACAGGTAAGGAGAGATCATATTATTTATGGGAGATTCTACAGTTCCATTACGGAATCATCCCGTCGAGGTTTGTAACCGTTAGATCAATTATCCACGACGATTAAATGATGATCTAACGGTTAATAATCACGACGGAATGATTCCGTATCTGGACTGTAACATTTTCCATTATTTATTATAGATTAATTTTTTTTTATTATTATTATTATTATTATTATTTTTTTTAATAGATAAAAATTACTACTTATTTTTTGTCTTTAATCTTATTAAAAGCTTATTAAATTTGGCTAAATAAAGGGGAATTTATCTCAGGTGGGAATTGATAGCAGGAAGGATTCCTGGGAGGAGAGCAGAGGAGATTGAAAGATTTTGGTTGATGAGAAACAGAAACAGTTATGAGGAGGACAAAAGGAAAGTAGAACACAAGAGCAGGCAAAATTCTTGTGCTTAACTATGTCATTTGATCTTTTTATGTTGTGTTGAGTTGTTTTATTTGGTATCCTCTTGTAGTGGGAGTAGTAATTTTTTTTTTAATTTTTTTTTGGGAAAATTGCAATTTTAGTCCTCTTGGTTTGATCGAGTGATATTTTTAATCGAGTGATATTTTTAATCTTAAGAATTGAACATCTTTGTCATTTGGTCCTAAGATTTTAAAATTCAGTGCAATTTCAGTCATTTGAGGCAAAATTACAATTTTAGTCCTCTTGGTTTGATCGAGTGATATTTTTAATCTTACGAAAGGAATATTTTTGTTATTTGGTCATATGATTTTAAAATCTAGTGCAATTTCAGTCATTTGAGGCAAAAAATACAATAAATTTTAAATTACAGGACTTAAATTGCTAATAAAAAGTCTTTTGGATGAATTTTTTATTAACAATTTAAGTCCTGTAATTTTAAATTTTGTTGTAATTTCAATCCCAGTAAAATACTAAATTAAAGGATTAAAAGACAATAAGTTAAAATCTTGGGGAAAAAAAATGCTACCACGTTAAAATAACCAGACTAAAAATGCAATTTTACCGTTCTTTTTCTCTCATTTTATTATTTTTTTTTAGGAAGTTCCATAATTGTACTTTGTTATGTCTTATTTCTTTGTTGGTAATTGAATATGACGTTTCATGGGATGTACCGATGAAATATATAAGGAACTAGCAAAGTTAGGTATGAAATAACACGGAAATGTTCATTTTTCCAAAGTGGACATATTAAAATTGTGTCAATTAACCACGTGTTAAGATTTCGTGAGCGTCAAATATCACATCCATCTTGTATGTTAATCTTATGTCATATATTAATTTGTGGGTATACTAACTTGTACCTACCATAGATAAAATAGCTTACTATGAAATAACAATTGACTCCTCATAATATCAAGTAATTAATGAATATTGATAAATTTTAATTTAGTCAGAAGTATTTGTAGATTAAACTTGGAACCACACACTTTTTGCAATTTTTTTCCATTAAAAATGACTGAAAAAAAAAAGTGTTGCTATTCACCGCCCACTACTACTATCGTTTGGACTGTTTTGCCGTTGACATTTTTTCCAAAAACTCAAAAAATTTAAGTTCTCTGAATAGACGGTGATTTCTTGTGAAAATGAGCGACGACGAGGAACGAAAATTACGCTGGCCGGCGATACCAACTGGACCGCCATCAGCCGGCCGGTGATTGCGGCCCTGGCCGGCAAGGCCGGCCATGACCATTGGCGGAAGCAATATGCACCCGGCCACTCTGTTGGGCCAGTTTTTAAAAAAAAAATAGTTGATGTTTATTTATTAAAAAAATATGTTAGTAGAAATTATTATGTTACAAATTTGAATTGATTATCTTATAAATTAGAATTTATTATTATTATATTAGAATGTTGAAATATTTATGTTATAAATTAGAATTTATTATTATGTTAGACCTTAGAAATTTTTATGTATAAATTAGAACTGGTTATCTTATAAGATTTATTATTCTTATTATGATTATTATTATTATTATTATTATTATTATTATGCTAAAACATAGAAATTATTATGTTACAAATTTGAATTGATTATCTTATAAATTAGAATTTATTATTATTATGTTAGAACGTTGAAGTTTTATGTTATAAATTAGAATTTATTATTATGTTAGAACTTAGAAATTTTTAAGTTATAAATTAGAATTGGTTATCTTATAGAATTTATTATTATTATTATTATTATTATTATTATTATTATTATTATTATTATTATTATTGTTACTATGATACTAGGAATTAGAAATTATTATATTATAAATTAGAATCGATTATCTTATAGAATTAGTATTATTATGTTAGAAATTAAAATTTTTTATGTTATAAATTATTTCTTATGATAGAACTTAGATTCTAGAAACGATACCAGAAAGCATTTATGTGATCCAGAAACGGTTTTTGGGATCCCAAAAACTAACGATTCCAGAAATCATTTCGAATTCGTTTTCAAATAATCATTATCTCCAATTTGATCCTAGAAATCGTTTATTGAATTCCAGAAACCATTTATGGGTTCCCAGTAATGAACGATTCTAGAAATCTTTTTGGGAGGATCACAAAAACGATTTTTGGGATCCCAAAAATAATTTACAAAAAAAATGGCCAATACTTTCTGAAAAATATTTTTTTTTTGTTTTATTTTTTTGAAATTTAAAAAAAAAATAGTTGTACAAAATTGACCTATTAATAAGAAAACATGATAAATTATAAAAAAAAAAACCTTTTAGAGGAATATTTTCAAAAAGCCGCCGTAATTTCACCGGAATGTTGTCAGAATTTTGGAAAAAAAAAGAGAGAATGAGATTAAAAAAGAGGAGGAGATGAGGGAAGAGGGAGATGAGGTGAATGAGAGAGATAGATTAGAATAGGAGAGATATATGAAATTTTTTATTCTTTTTTATCTTTGTTTTTTTTTTTCAATTAGAAAGTAAGAAGGTATTTGTCTTTTCATGTGCTAAAATGACTAAAAATTATAATTTTACAAAACGAATTTATCTTTTGTATTTGAAAACTAGTACGTAGCACGTGCGATGCACAAGAAACAGATATTAAGGGTTTGTTTGGAAACACTTATTGATAAGTCCATTTCAAGATGGACTTTTTAAAAAGTGACTTCTCAAGAAGTCTTCAATATAAACTTCTTTGAAATGGACTTTTTGTAGGAGTTACTTTTTTAAAAGTCCATTTTGTTGTTTACACCAAACATCTTTTTATATTGGAAATGGACTTTTATAGTCAAAAGTCCATTACAAAAGTGCTTCCAAACATACACTAAATAAGTCATTTGCATAGAGTCTGTCCGTTAAGTAGCTAGTAAGATGCACGAGACTGAGAGATTAAATGAGTCATTTCCATAGGCTTGCCCGTTTTTTCCCAAAACGATAGATAATATTATAAATCAAAATGCACAAATGTGCGAATACACAACGTCAACGGCTGAATACACAACAGCCAAAAGCTGAAAAAGTGGGAGGACATGTCAGAAGACCGCATAGAATCCCGACTAGCAACGCTAGAATAAAAACACTCACAACTAAACTAACCAACAACACAAACAACTACAATGACCCCAAAGGTTAATATCCGAGTGTCGGATCTCAACAGGATAATAAATTTGACACTCGGGCTCACAGAGGCGAAATGGCCCAAACTAAAAACACGAACCTAGACACAAATACAAACACAAACACTGAAACGCAACAAAAACAGAATAACGACAACTAAAAAAGTAAATAAATAAGAATAATAGGGTTGAATCATATATTTCCACCACTTTTTATTTTTTATTTTTGTTTTTGGTCGGTACGTTAAACTCGAGCATGTTAGCGCTATCCCGTAAATTAATAATATATTCTCCCGCTAACATATTTATAATAATATAAATTTGATTTTAGTATATATACTTATTCCTTAATATATGAAAAATAACAATTTTACTTATTGTTTGTTCCTCACTCAACTATTGTTTTATTCTAAAATTTGTTGTAATATAATGTCATTATTATTATTTATAAAAGTTATAGATGTATTGTTATTCTTCTTTTTATTTTATGTAATAAAAATATTTAATGTGCGTTAATATTATTTATAGATGTATTCTTCGTCTTTGGAATTGTGTATATTGAAGTAATTAATGTATGTATTTTAAAAGTTTCTAAAGAAAGTATGAATTTAATGTTCCAAGATTTTTTGGCAATTATTTTTAATAAATGGTTATTCTCTTGAGTAATGCTATAGGTACATAATATTGTACATAGGAGTGTATATAACACTCACATTGAGTGGGACTCACTAAAAATAAAAAATTAAGTAGCCCCCACTCCATGTGAGTGTTATGTACATCTCTATATACATTTATTATGTACTTATAACATTTTTCTATTCTCTTCATATATGTGTACATGGCTAAAAAGCCAATTTACTGATTATATTATGCTTTGAACACTCGAATTTTTTACGGCCAAAAAAAAAA